CTTCAACCACAAATCCAGCCTGTAGCTGGCAGGTTCCGATCAGCTCCTCTGTGTAGGCCACTCCACGACCGATACTAGGGTTGCGAGCCCTAGGCAGGAGCCTCGTGTGATTCCGCTGATCACTCTCCTCTCTCAGCACCACAGTGGCTAGTCTCTTCCAGCAGCCAGCCCGGATAAGACGATTCCTGGTACTGCCACGTCACAGGCAGGCTAACACTCTCAATAGTGTTCGTCCAGGGGTGGCTCACAGCTTCTGCAGCAAACACGTGGAGAGACTTCGGCTGCCTTGGGTAGACTGCCACATCGTCCAATACAGCAGTCCCAGGTCCACTCTGTAATCAGACACGTCATTAGTACCGGGGACACTCTAGGGCACCTCACTTACAGGCTTAGACACAAACGCCCACCTATCCACTCCATAAATGGCGTTGCTGTCTAAGCGCCACCTCACCAGAGGTCAGCAGCGGCTATGTTATGAGCTGATTAAGACGGGAATCCAGCACCTGTGGCCGGTATATCCCGTCCTCACTAGATGGCTTCGTCCATTTGGAGGGGGTTTCGGGAGCTGACTCACAGATGGCGTTGTCGTCACTGCTCCGTGCTACGACGCTGGACTCGGGTCCGTAACACCCCATACCCCAGCCTATGAGCTATATTTGACCCCATACCCCAACCTGTTACTGTTGCTGACCTCATACCCCAACCCGTAAGCTGTAGATGACCCCATATCCCAAACCTTCAGCTTTAGTTGACCCCATACCCCAACCCATGAGCTGTAATTAACCCCATACCCCAACCCATGAGCTGTAGTTGACCCCATACCCCAACCCGCGAGCTAAAGTTGACCCCGTACCCCAACCTGTGAGCTGTAGGTGACCCCATACCCCAACCTGTGAGCTGTAGTTGACCCCATACCCCATCCCATTAGTTTTACCTGACCCCATACCCCAACCCGTGAGCTAAAGTGAACCCCATACCCCAACCCGTGAGCCAAAGTTGACCCCGTTCCCCAATCTATGAGCTGTAGTTGACCCCATACCCCAACTCGTGAGGTATAGTTGACCCCATACCACAATCCATGAGCTGTAGTGAACCCCATACCCCAACCCTTGAGCTGTAGTTGACCCCATACACCAACCCGTGAGCTGTAGTGAACCCCATACCCCAACCCTGGAGCTGTAGTTGACCCCATTCCCCAACTCGTGAGCTGACGTGGACCCAATACCTCAACCCGTGAGCTAAAGTTGACCCCATACCCCAGTCTGTGAGCTGTAGTTGGCCAATACCCCAACCCGTGAGCTGTAGTTGACCCCATACCCCAACCCGTGAGCTGTAGTTGACCCCATACCCCAACTCGTGAGCAATAGTTGACCCCATACCCCAAGCCATGAGCTGTAGTGGACCCCCCATACCCAAACCCGTGAGCTGTAGTTGACCCCATACCCCAAATTGTGAGCTCTAGTTGACCCAATACCCCAACCCGTGAGCTGTAGTTGACCCCATTCCCCAACCCATGAGCTGTAGATGACCCATACCACAACCCGTGAGCTGTAGTTGACCCCATACCCTAACCCGTGAGCTGTAGTTAACCCCATACCCCAACCCGTGAGATGTAGTTGACCCCATACCCCAACTCGTGAGCTATAGTTGACCCCATACCCCATCTCACGTGCAGTAGTGGACCCCATACCCCAACCCGTGAGCTGTAGTTGACCCCATACCCCAACCCTTTAGCTGTAGTTGACCCCATACCCCAACCCGTGAGCTGAAGTGGACCCCATACCCCAACCTGTGAGCTAAAGTTGACCCCATACCCCAATCTGTGAGCTGTAGTTGACTCCATACCCCAACCCGTGAGCTGTATTTGACCCCATACTCCAACCCGTGAGCTAAAGTTGACCCCATACCCCAATCCATGAGCTGCAGTTGACCCCATAACCCAACCCGTGAGCTGTAGTGTACCCCATACCCCATCCCATGAGCTGTAGCTGACCCCACACTCCAACCCGTGAGCTGTAATTGACCCAATACCCCAACACATGAGCTGTAGCTGACCCCATACCCCAACCTGTGAGCTGTAGTTGACCCCATACCCCAACCCATGAGCTGTAGTTAACCCCATTCCCCAACCCATGAGTTGTAGTTTACCCCATACCCCAACCCGTGAGCTATATTTGACCCCATTCCTCAACCTGTGACTGTTGGTGGCCCCATATACCAACCCATGAGCTGTAGTTGACCCCATTCCCCATCTTATGAGCTGTAGTTGACCCCATACGCCAACCCATGAGCTATAGTTGACCCCATACCCCATCCCATGAGCTGCAGTTGACCCCATACCCCAACCTATGAGCTGTAGTTAACCCCATACCACAACCCGTGAGCTGTAGTTGACCCCATACCCCAACTCGTGAGCTGTAGTTGACCCCATACCCCAACCCATGAGCTGTAGTTGACCCCATACCCCATCCCATGAGCTGTAGTAGACCCCATTCCCCATCCCATGAGCTGTCGTTGACCCCATACCCCATCCCATGAGCTGTATTTGACCCCATACCCCAACCCGTGAGCTATATTTGACCCCATACCCCAACCTGTGACTGTTGGTGGCCCCATACCCCAACCCATGAGCTGTAGTTGACCCCATACCCAAAACCGTGAGCTATATTTGACCCCATTCCCCAACCCATGAGCTGTAGTTGACCCCATACCCCATCCCATGAGCTGCAGTTGACCCCATACCGAAACCCGTGAGCTGTAGTTGACCCCATACCCCAACCTATGAGCTGTAGTTGAACCCATACCCCAACTCGTGAGCTGTAGTTGACCCCATACCCCAACTCATAAGCTGTAGTTGACCCCATACCCCAACCCATGAGTTATATTTTACCCTATACCCCAGCCCGTGAGCTATATTTTGCCCCTTATCTCATTCCTTGAGCTGTAGTTGACCCCCATACCCTAACCCGTGAGCTGTAGTTGACCCCATATTCTAACCCGTGAGCTGTAGTTGACCCCATTCCCCATCCTGTGTGCAGTAGTTGACCCAGTACCCATTCTGTGGAGGGTAGAGGACGCCATACCCATCCTGTACTCTCCTAATTGTCCTTGCAGGTGTTGAGCTTTGGCTCTTTGGTCCCACCTTGAGTACCAGATCCCATATGCACTACCGGATGGGTTTGGCGCAGTACCGCACCCTTTAGCAATCCTCTGGGCAGTACTTGATCCCGTAGGCAGTAGCTGATTCCATAACCATCTTCAGGTGGTAGTGGACACCTGGGGGTCCCATCCCGGGGCGGTAGAGGACCCATACCCATTCTGTGGGCAGAAGTGAACTATTCACCCATCTTCCGGGCGGTAGTGTTCCCCCCATACCTCTCATGTGGGCAGTATTGTAATCCATACTCCTCTTGAGGGCCTTAGGGGATCCCATACGCATCCTGTGGGCGGTACTGGGCCACATACCCATCATGTGGATGGGTAGTGGCCCACATATTCATCCTCTGGGCGGTAGTGGACCCCATACCCATGCTTTGGGGTAGTGGACCTCAACCATCCAGTGGATGGAAGTGAACCGCCTTCCATCCAGTGGATGGAAGGCGGTTCACTACCGCCTGTTGGCGGTAGTGAACCCCATGCGCATGCTGTGGGCAGTAATTCACCCCATGCCAATCATGAGGCTGTAATGGACCATCCTATACCCAACCTTCAGGTGGTAGTGGACCCCATACCCATCCATCAGGTGATAGTGGACCCCATACCTATCCTTTTAGGTGGTAGTGGACTCATCGTGAGATTTGTTGTGGACCATAGATCTATCCTGTTTTCAGTAGTGTACCCCATTTCAACTTAACTTCGGGTTGTTTTGTCCGAAACGCTATGTGTACTAGTGGCTTTAGGTATTGTATGTACTAGCTCTATCTATAAATCAATCTGAATGTTTGTAACTCTGCATGTATGTACTTTTCTTAAATAAAATATTATTATTATTATTATTATCATTTTCTGTTGACGTTCCTGATATTCACTCTCTTTAGATTTCAAAGCACACACAATTGTATATTAAATTCATTTAGAGCCCCATAATAATACGTAATAATTTTTAATGCTTATTATAATTTATTTAAAACTACCAAGATTTCTCAAAACAAAACTACGAGCCTTCAATTGGATGTAGCTTATCCATGATACTCGAATAACATGGAAAATAGTACGTAAATTTCACATCAGAAGTTTTACTGGAAAAATACAAGCATCCATTAAAATTTGAGCAAACGGACCCTTATGCTCTTTACAGTAATGTGACGGGTACTATGAGACTATGGTACTTGACGAAGGGTTGGTGCCTGGTGATAGGAAATAGCTGGAAATCTACCACAGATAAACTATGAACAATAGCATATAAGCCTTTGGCCACATAGGTACTATGTTATATCCAGAGCGGGTTGCAGTAACATAGAGGGAGCACAGAGTGCACACAGCTGGCCCAGTAGTGTGTGATAGATATCACCAATAACATAGAGGGAGCACAGAGTGCACACAGCTGGCCCAGTAGTGTGTGATAGATATCACCAGTAACATAGAGAAAGCACAGAGTACACACAGCTGGCCCAGTAGTGTGTGATATATATCACCAGTAACACAGAGGAAGCACAGAGTACACACAGCTGGTCCAGTAGTGTGTGATAGATATCACCAGTAACATAGAGAAAGCACAGAGTACACACAGCTGGCCCAGTAGTGTGTGATAGATATCACCAGTAACACAGAGGAAGCACAGAGTACACACAGACCGGTAGTGTGTGATAAATATCACCAGTGACATAGCAGATACCACAGAGTTGTCTCATTAGTGTGTAAGATAATCTAGAAAGCAACCCGTATTTTTGTCACTGGTGTCGCTTTTTGTCGCTTAACGTTCCGTCCGCCTTGATATAGATAAGCGTAGTGGTGGCTTGTGTGCTCTTATCTGGTGTTACCGTTGACGCCAGTGTAGTTGTCAGTAGTGTACTGTTAACAGTTCTCGTGTGTTACCGTTGACGCCAGTGTAGTTGTGAGTAGTGTACTGTTAACAGTTCTCGTGTGTTACCGTTGACGCCAGTGTAGTTGTGAGTAGTGTACTGTGAACAGTTCTCGTGTTACCGTTGACGCTAGTATAGTTGTGAGTAGTGTACTGTTAACAGTTTTCGTGTCACCGTTGACGCCAGTGTAGTTGTCAGTAGTGTACTGTTAACAGTTCTCGTGTGTGTGAAGTGTCTTGCTTTTGGTTTTACCAGGATGTATTGATATTATCTGTTGTGAACAGTGTTCATGGTGTCCCGGAGGTAGTGACCATTGAGTGACCACGAGGCCTTGACCTGTGTGTGACACTTGGCCACATTCACAGTGTGTCCTGCTGTGATGTGATACGTGATTAAAGACAAACTTTCCTCAACAACTCTCCAGCCTACAGCTTCTGGTAAACCAGCGAGCGTTAAGCTTTTGTTAAAGCAAGCAGCAAAAAGCGCTCGGTTAAAGAGGGAGTTTAGAGCTGGTGGCACTTCAGACATCCTCAGGTTATCATCGTCTACCAAAAAGAGGTTTGTGGTAATCTTAATTTTTGTTATTTCATAAAAGTATTTGTTTTAAAGTTCAACAAAAGATGATTAGTATTTCATTAATCAAGGAATAATAGAATGTAAACAATCAATACCATATCAAGTAGGTGGGAGATCCGCTAGCGTCTAAAATGTTCATTTCTTGGGCCAATCGTTCACCCTTCTAAAACTAACTTCTTTTTTTTATTGAGGAAAAACATGTCAAGTTGATGGTGACAGGCACCGAAGTCCTCAAAGTTTAAGTCTCCCCTCGAATGTTAAGATCGTTTTCTTTTGAAAAAGATGGAATCACTGACTGTGGGAATATTTCTTGAAGATCTGGAGATGCAGGAGAGGTTATGCTGTGAGCTCTTATGCTGCTTCTTGCTGGGCAGCTGAGTGTGATGCTGTTTAGAATTTACTTGTGGAAGTTTACAAATAATGTCTGTATTAAGTAATGAGTAAGTCTCATGGGACAAACGTGTCTCTACACTCATCTGAAGACGTCGGCCACAGATACATAGTCTCCACAGTAGTGTCAAGTGTGTTAAATATTGTACACACTAATGGTGTTCACTGTGAGTGCTGTTGAAGATCCACACTACAAACAATTAGAACCACATGTCTACCTCTACCTTGGCGTTGTAAGAACTACATCCACTACGCCAGCGTTCACGACCACAAGGTTCACCACACCATACATAACCACAAGGTTTACCACACTATATATGACCACAAGATTCACCACCCCATACATGACCACAAGGTTCACCACACCACCATACATGACCACAAGGTTCACCACACCAGCATACACGACCACAAGGTTCACCACACCAGCATACACGACCACAAGGTTCACCACGCCATACATGACCACAAGGTTTACAACACCTTACATGACCACAAGGTTCACCACACCAGCAAACATGACCACAAGGTTCACCACACCATACATGACCACAAGGTTCACCACACCAGCAAACATGACCACAAGGTTCACCAAACCAGCAAACATGACCACAAGGTTCACCACACCATACATGACCACAAGGTTCACCACACCAGCATACATGACCACAAGGTTCACCACGCCACCATACATGACCACAAGGTTCACCACACCAGCATACATGACCACAAGGTTCACCACGCCACTATACATGACCACAAGGTTCACCACACCAGCATACATGACCACAAGGTTCACCACACCAGCATACATGACCACAAGTTTCACAACGCCACCATACATGACCACAAGGTTCACCACACCATACATGACCACAAGGTTCACCAAACCAGCATACATGACCACAAGGTTCACCACACCAGCATACATGACCACAAGGTTCACCACACCAGCATACATGACCACAAGGTTACCACACCAGCATACATGACCAAAAGGTTCACCACAGCATACATGACCACAAGGTTCATCACACCAGCATACATGACCACAAGGTGTACCACACCACCATACATGACCACAGGGTTCACCACACCACCATACATGACCACAAGGTTCACCACGCCATACATGACCACAAGGTTTAACACACCAACATACATGACCACAAGGTTCACCACACCAGCATACATGACCATAAGGTTCACCACACCATACATGACCACAAGGTTCACCACACCATACATGACCACAAGGTTCACCACACCAGCATACATGACCACAAGGTTCACCACATCAGCATACGTGACCACAAGGTTCACCACACCAGCAAACATGACTACAAGGTTCACCATACCATACATGACCACAGGGTTCACCACACCACCATACATGACCACAAGGTTCACCACGCCATACATGACCACAAGGTTTAACACACCAACATACATGACCACAAGGTTCACCACACCAGCATACATGACCACAAGGTTCACCACACCATACATGACCACAAGGTTCACCACACCAGCATACATGACCACAAGGTTCACCACACCAGCATACATGACCACAAGGTTCACCACACCATATATGACCAAAAGGTTCACCACACCAGCATACATGACCACAAGGTTCACCACACCAGCATACATAACCACAAGGTTCACCACACCAGCATACATGACCACAGGGTTCACCACACCACCATACATGACCACAAGGTTCACGACACCAGCATACATGACCACAAGGTTCACCACACCAGCATACATGACCAAAAGGTTCACCACGCCACCATACATGACGACAAGGTTCACCACACAAGCATACATGACCACAAGGTTCACCACACCAGCATACATGACCACAAGGTTCACCACACCAGCATACATGACCACAAGGTTCACCACGCCACCATACATGACCACAAGGTTCACCACACCAGCATACATGACCACAAGGTTCACCACGCCACCATACATGACCACAAGGTTCACCACACCACCATACATGACCATAAGGTTCACCACACCATACATGACCACAAGGTTCACCACACCAGCATACATGACCATAAGGTTCACCACACCATACATGACCACAAGGTTCACCACACCAGCATACATGACCACAAGGTTCACCACATCAGCATACATGACCACAAGGTTTACCACACCACCATACATGACCACAAGGTTCACCACACCACCATGACCACAAGGTATATGACCACAAACCACACCACCATACATGGTTCACCACACCACACATGACCAGCATACATGACCACAAGGTTCACCACACCAGCATACATAACCACAAGGTTCACCACACCAGCATACATGACCACAGGGTTCACCACACCACCATACATGACCACAAGGTTCACCACACCACCATACATGACCACAAGGTTCACCACACTATACATGACGCAAAGGTTCACGACACCAGCATACATGACCACAAGGTTCACCACACCAGCATACATGACCAAAAAGTTCACCACGCCACCATACATGACGACAAGGTTCACCACACAAGCATACATGACCACAAGGTTCACCACACCAGCATACATGACCACAAGGTTCCCCACACCAGCATACATGACCACAAGGTTCACCACGCCACCATACATGACCACAAGGTTCACCACACCAGCATACATGACCACAAGGTTCACCACGCCACCATACATGACCACAAGGTTCACCACACCACCATACATGACCATAAGGTTCACCACACCATACATGACCACAAGGTTCACCACACCAGCATAAATGACCATAAGGTTCACCACACCATACATGACCACAAGGTTCACCACACCAGCATACATGACCACAAGGTTCACCACATCAGCATACATGACCACAAGGTTTACCACACCACCATACATGACCACAAGGTTCACCACGCCATACATGACTGTTGGAAATTTCCAACACCGAATACAACACTGTTGTATTCTCATTACTTATTACTAACTCTACTAATTATTGTAGTAAGTAAAATTAACACCACGTAGAATTCTCATGTACTAATAATTTCATCTGTGCAGTAGGCTAGAATTCTCACGTCATCCGACGCCAGTATTGCGTCAGATTTCCTTACAATAAACACATTATATCCAATGTATCTGAGAATTAAATTCGATTCTCTATAACCAAGGCATTCTGTATGATAATTAATTACAGATGAATTGACCTCCAACTAAAAGCCGAATAGAGCGTTGGAGTCATAGCGAGTATCTAGTAATAAAAGTTAACGTCACGAGTGAATGCCATGGGGAGACATTAATTCCTCTCCCTTATACGTTTAATATCACTAAATTGGCTGATAATAATATTTCCCTCTTCTAAATAATAAACCCATCCAGTCTTCAACATTTCAAGCGTAAATGCGAGAAATACTAATATTCATGACAATAATTTGTCTAATGAACGCGGGACGCGGCGTGGGTGAGGGAGCAAGCCAGTACACGTGGAGGGAAGCTCTGAGGCAGACCTACCCATATCGTGCTCACGAGGAGACGCCATTGCCCAGCCATCAGGGTAGACGTTATCCATCCTCAGATGAAAGTCGCCACTGTGAGGCGTGAACAACCTTGCAGATAATATCTTCAACTGGTGCTGCCCCCTCCCCTTCCGGCCCGTTGGCGTCGTGAGGGGGCTTGGTGGACGGCTGCCGGAGTGTGATGCTCCGTTGGGCAGTCCTCTGTCCTTTTCTGGCCTTGCACTCCTGCTGCTGTCTTCTCCAATTGTGCCGGATCGCTTTTCCTTTTCCTTATGTTTCGTTTTTCTCCCCCCTCTTCTCCTATCTGCTTGTCGTTTCCTGCCGACCTTTTGCTTGTTTTGGATTATTTCTTTGGACTTCTTCTATTTTGACGCCCGGGTGCTTGAGGAGGCATACTCTTGCACCCGTAGAACTGTAGTACCCGACGTCTCGAGCGAGGGGAACCTTTTATTGTCAATCCCCCTTTCGTCGCTGAACCCGATCTCGACGGACTGACTGTTCTTAAGGTGGCGTTTGTGGGGTGTATACTCACGACGCACCCCTAGGGGGCCCCGGCATGATCAGCGATAGCTTCCTGTTGGGTGTCCTGCCTCTAATTGTGGCATCATGGTGGGTATGGGGGGACATTCGTGGATGAATTTGTCACTTTTCGTCTCTATGTCGTTGAATGTTTCCGTTGTACCCTCTCAGCCTCGTGGGGTGGGCGACCAAGCCCCCGAGTCGGCCTGTATTGGAAGACCAGGCTCTGTAGCTCCCGCTGCGTTGGGCCCCGACCTTGCTCCTCCTTTGACCGTCCTGACTTCTTCCCCCAGCTCCCCTCCCTCCTCTGAGGTTGGGTCGAGCCTCCAGCCCCCGGTGGTGACCACTTCGTTCCCTGGTGCGGCTAAGTCTTTCGTTGTGACTACTGCGCCTTTTGACCCCTTTCTCTCTAGGGGTTCTCAACGCCGTTCTCGCCCAAACCGCACTCGCTCGATTCCTTCCCGTGCTGATGCGTATCAGGCCTTGTTTGGTCCTGCTTCATGGGCCAAATACTTTGATCTCCTCCCTCTTGATTCTGCGCCTCCTG